CCAGTGTTCCTGTGAGAGGTGATTGAAACTGCCCAGTGTTCCAGTGAAGAGTTACACTGATGCCCAGTATTACAGTGAGAGTTACAGTGATGCCCAGTGTTACATTGTGGGGTTACAGTGATGCCCAGTGTTACAGTAAGGGGTTACAATGACTGCCCAGTGTTACAGTGAGGGTGTATGGTGCACACACAACAGTGAGTGTTAACATTTTCTCCACGAGATTCCTCAACCGTGACATCCTCATCTCTTTCTCAGATTGCCATGATTTCCTCCCTCTTTGCTCTTGTGATATTCCCCTTCCAGGCCCATCCTTTGTTTCTTTACTGTTCCCATTAACTACTTCTTTTGCTTCCATCAACCTATTTTTCTATTTCATCTCTCCTGCCTTTGTCCTGTTGTGCACACCTCCTTTTTGCTCTTCCCTCCTTTATCCCTGTTTCCTGTCTCTGATCTTGTGCCCGATCTGTGTAATCTCTATCAGCTCTATGAAAGATTGCAGGCCTGAAACTTTAACTCTTTAAAGTCTCCACAGATGCATTTCTAGCATTTTTCTTTTGCTTTTATTTCACCTGTGTGTTGCTTTTGTGCAGTTAGGTACTTCGGGGGGTACAAATATTCATAAAACAACATAATTTTCTGAGTATTGCTTGTGATACAAGATTATTTCACCAAATCAATTGTTTAAAGCTATAACCCATGATGGACATTTTTAAAGTATTTTTATTGTGAGTGAGACCGAGGATGAATGAGAGATGAAGTGAGGTTACCTGCTTTACTAGGTAGAGTTTGGAATATCTGACCCCTCTTCGTTTGGACCTGAATAAGGGTGAGAGTTGCCATGGTGCACAGGCCCAAAGAAATCCCAGAGGAATCCACACCAGGACAGTCTGCTCCAAGCACACCGGCAAGTCAGGATCTGGTCTGTCCACGTACGAATCATTCTGAACGAGAAGACACATCACCTCAGAATCACAACATTATAAGACCATAAGAAACAGGAACAAGAATAGGCCTTTTTTAAGGTCTTAGTGAAAATTTGTAGCTCAGGTTGTGGATGTGGTTGTTTGTTTGCTCGCCGAGCCAGTTGTTGTGTGGGGTGCAGACATTTTGTTACCATTCTAGGCAACATCATCAGTGCGACTTCTAATCAAAGCGTTGGTGTTCTGCCCCGTTCCGAATTTATATGACCCACTGGTGCGGTGTGTCGTGTCACTTCCGGTTCTGTTCTTTTAGTAGTGGTCTGTATACGGGATCTATTTCTATGTGTTTGTTAATGGAGTCCTGTGTTGAAAACCAAGCCTCCAGAAATTCCCTTGCATGTCTATTGTTCGCTTGTCCCAGTATAGTCACTTTGTCCCAGTCAAACTGATGGCCCTCATTGTCTGTTTGTATCAAGACAAGTAAATATTGGTCATGTCTCTTTGCTGCCAGCTGGTGTTCGTGTATCCTGGTCATCAGGTCTCTCCCCATTTGTCCATCATAATGTTTATTGCACTCGTTGCATGGGATTCTGTACATTACGTTAGATCTTTTTACTGGACTAACATGATATACAAAATCCCATGCAGTGAGTGCAGTAAACGTTATGATGGACAAATAGAGAGGAAACTGATGACCAGGATACACGAACAGCAGCTGGCAGTAAAGAGACATGACCAATATTCACCTGTCTTGTGGAGTTTTGTGGAGATGACAGGGATCTCAACCATCAGCTGGTGAGGCACAGAAGGGCCACGCACCAATTTGTTTCCTGAAGGCCCACCACATCACGTCCAACTCAGGCAATTGTTAGAGCATTGGCAGGCCTTCCCTTAGCATCAGGACCCTCCGGGCAAGAAATCCTTCTAAATGTCAATCCCCCTATCAAACAGAGGCTGGCAGGTAAAGTTCGTTCTAGTGATATCACTATTACTCACACTGATACAGATAAAATAGTCACTCATTTATTAATCGATTTCATGGAGTTAATGACCAGTTAATGTCTATTTGAAGCAATGATCTCAATGACTCATGGATTGAGCATAAACTCCACCAAATGCCAAAGTCGCTGGCATATTACCAAATGCACTCCTTGACAGTTAAATGTGGATATTGGAGCAGTACAGTTAATAATGGAAGGCAACGGAATCTCTAGAATGGATACTGCATGGTGAGCTGAGCAGTCAATGACGCATTTAGATTTGATCTTATATCACCATGACCTCACTGGTGATCTCTGTCAATGCAGCAGGTTCAGATCAGAAACTCATTGCAACATCTTGCTCCCTTGAATTAAAGGATCAGGCTGTGAAGGAAGATCTGATGGAGGCACTCAAAATGATAAAGGGTTTTTGACAGAGTAAGGGGAAACTGTTTTGACATTCAACAAACAAAGGACACAGGTTTCAAGATAACTGGGACAGAAGCAGAGAGACAGATTCAGAGAGGTGAGAATTATTTAAAATTCAAAAAGTTGTCGATGTTGGGAATGCACTGAGTGAAAAGGCAATGAAAGCAGATCCAATAGTAACATTCATTAGATAGGAAGTTAGATAGACACTTGTGGGAGAAGGAATTGTTGTGTTATGGAAATGGGGAGGAGCCTGGGATCAACAAGGTAGCTCTACCAAAAAGCTAGCAGGCATGATGGGCTAAATGGACTCCTTCTGTACCATAACATTCAATGATTCCATACATCAAAAGATTTGAGCCATAACCCAGGCTGATTCTATACTGCAGTACTGAGGGAACACAGCATTGCAGGAGAAACAAAAATAGAAATTGCTGGAAAAGCTCAGAATGTCTGGCAGCATCTGTGGAGAGAAATCAGAGTTAACGTTTCAGATCAAGTGACCCTTCCTCAGAACTGATGGTAGCTGGGAAAATGTCAGTTTATATGCAGAAGATAGGGTGGGGGGAGGGGGCAAGGAGTAAATGACAGGTGGGGATAGAGACCAAGGAGAGAGAATAACAGTTGGACAGACAAAGGAGTTGATAATGATCTGACTAGGAGAGTGAATAGCTGTTAATGGGATAACAAGGTGTTGAGCTGGATGTTATCACATAGTCTGCTATCATACATAACCTATTATTAGCCACTAATAGTTCCCATTAACAGCTTCAGAGATAGTAAGAACTGCCGATGCTGGAGTCTGAGATAACAAGGTGTGGAGCTGGAGGAACACAGCAGGCCAGGCAGCATCAGAGGAGCAGGAAAGCTGACGTTTCGGGTCGGGACCCTTCTTCAGAAATGGGGGAGGCGAAGGGGACTCTGAAATAAATTGAGAGAGGGGAGCCTCCCAGTCAACTGGAGAGCAGATTGAAGATCAGCCTGACATCATCTCTGTCACACCTTTCACAATCTCAGATCATTTCAAAGTACATGACAACCAATCATCCTTTTGAAGGGAGATAGTAGGAACTGCAGATGCTGGAGAATCCGAGACAACAAGGTGCAGGGCTGGATGAACACAGCAGGCCAAGCAGCATCATAGGAGCAGGAAAGGCAGAAATTTCTGATGAAGGGCCTAGGCCCGAAACGTCAGCCTCTCTGCTCCTATGATGCTGCTTGGCCTGCTGTGTTCATCCAGCTCTGCACCCTTTCGAAGGGAGTCGCTGTATTGTATGGTGGGGAAATGTGCATGACATTAGGTCTTAACCATTGATCAGATGGTCTGTTTCTGTGATTTTGCATATCTGACAGATAAATACGTGATGCAGGACACTGAAGAGAACTCCCTGTGGTTTCTTCAAAATTACGGCCTAGCATTTCCACATGGCAGAAGCAGGTTCACTGGAAGTATTCAAGAGGGCATTGGATGGTTATTTGGATCGAAATGGCATGCAGGGATATGTGGAAAAGGCAGGAGATTGGGCCCAGAGGACAGAATGCAGGCATAATGGGCCGGATGATCTCCTTCTGCACCGTAACAATTTTATACCAACCACCCACAGCGCAGTCAAGGCCACAGCTTCTCTGACAGTGCAGCACTCCCTCAGCACCTCAAAGGGGCAACGACAGAAACATTTTGAAAAGCAAAGTCTTTTCAGGAGGTACAACGTAGGGTTAGGGTGGATAGAATAAGATTGCTCCTAGTACTGGATGGATCTGGAAGTGGGGGCATAGATACAAGTTTAAACACAATAGGACTGAGGTTAGGAGAAATATCTTCACATAGATAGACTCGCTTGGCTGTGGAATTCACTTTGTGCTACAGATCAACGCAGAATCTGTGTTAACAAAGGCAGTCAGATTTAACAAGCTAATGAAGGAAAAGGGGAATTACTGGACGTAGAAAGCGAGAAGTACATATGGTTGAACTATTAACCCACAGGCAGAATCAACACAACCAGGGATTGAAATAGCTGGAACGACCTCTTCCGATCATGCAAAGTTGATGTGCCCAGAGAGACAAAAATTACAAAAACCTATTTGGTTTTGTTTTCCTAAAGGTACAGTGAAAAAAAAAATCAATGGGGAACAGTCATTCATTATAGCAAGCCCCTTGTCCAAGTACATTCAACATTATCATGGACCATACTCTGTCTATTTCTTCTCCCAGAGTGGGCACATGATTTCTTCTAGTCTAGTGAAGAAAATGAAAACCAGAAAATGCTGGAAATATTTTGATTCTTAAACCTTTCTGAGTAAACACGTGAAGATAAGGGTGAGAGATGGCTATTCAGTCCATCAATGGTCACAGGTCCACCTGTGTAACCTGTGCACCCTCAAGACAACTGCTGATTTATTCAACAGCTCCTAGGGAAGGGAAAACTCTAACTTATTACTTTTATTTATTCATTCACAGAATAATGGTATCACTGGCTAGGCCAGCATTTACTGCCCATCCCTAATTGCCCAAGGGCAGTTATGAGTTGGCAAAAGCAATTTAATGTGGATAATTGTGAGGTTATCCAATTTGGTTCCTAAAACAGGAAGGCAATTATCTGAATGGTGGCAGTTTAGGAAAAGGTGAGGTGCAATGAGACCTGAGTGTCATGATGGAACAGTTGCTGAAGGTTGGCATGCAGGTGCAGCAGGCAGTGAGGAAAGTTAATAGCACGCTGGCCTTCAGAGCAAGAGGATTTGAGTATTGGGGTAGGGATGTCTTGCTGCAGTTATACAGTGCCTTAGTGAGGCCACACCTTGTGCATTGTGTGCAGTTTTGGTCTCCTAGTCTGAGGAAGGACATTCTTGCTACTGAGAGAGTCCAGCTAAGGTTTACCAGACTGATTCCCGGGATGGCAGGACTGACATATGAGGATAGACTGGATCAACTGGGCTTGTATTTGCTGGAATTTAGAAGAATGAGCAGGATCTCATAGAAACATACAAAATGCTGACAGAACTAGACAAGCTAGATATTGGAAGAATGTTCGCAATGTTGGGGATGTCCAGAACTAGGGATCACACTCTAAGAATAAGGGGTAAGCCATTCAGGGCTGAAATGAGGAAGAATTTCATTACTCAGAGAGTTGTGAACCTGTGGAATTCTCTACCACAGAAAGCAGTTGGGGCCAGTTCATTAGATATATTCAAGAGGGAGCTGGACATGGCCCTTGCAGCTAAAGTGGATCAAGGGGTATAGGGAGAGGGTGGGAATGGGATACTGAAATTGCATGATCAGCCATGATCATATTGAATGGTCGTGCAGGCATGAGGGGCTGAGTGGCCTACTCCTGCACCTACTTCTTATGTTTCAATGTAACCACATTGCTCTGGGTCCGGAGTCACATGTAGGCAAGACCAGGTAAGTGTGGCAGTTTCCTTCCCTAAAGGGTGAATGAGATGGGTTGTTACAGGAATCAACATTAGTTTAGACATTAGACTCTTAATCTAGCTTTTCATTGAATTCAAAGTCCACCATCTGTCATGTTGGGATTCAAACCAAGGATCCCAGTACATTACCTGGGTCTCTGGATTAACATTCAAGCAATAATGCCACTAAGTCATCACCTCCCCTACTACTCCCTGTGTTCATACATTACATATGATGTATACAAGATATGCTGCATATATCCTGTCACCCCTCACTTGGAAGAAAGCAGTCCAATATATTCACCTTTTCTCAGTACTACAGAAATCCATCTCGACCTACAGATCGATGGTGACCAGATTTCAGTCAGTCGTAGTGTACAGCTTTGAAACATTCTTTCCTTTCCTTCTGTGTAGCCCTGTCCTACTCAACCTACTGGAAACACATAATATCCCAGCACTCATGAACGATCTTGTCATCTCAGCTATGGGCATGGATTTCTCTCACTCCTGACTGCAAGAGGCCTGGGTTCAAGTTTCACCCCAAAGATGAGCAAATAATCCAGTCTGATGTACCCAGTACTGAGTATGCAGTACTGAGGGAGTGCAGCATTGTTGAAGGTACCAGCTTCTATGAAATATTAAACTGAGATCCTATCTGACCTCTCAGCTAGATGTAAAAGACTGTAAAGAGCATGGGGAATCTCCCCGTGTGAATATTCAACCCACATCACTAAAACAAACAGTCTGGTCATTTCATGTTGTTGTTTGCAGGAGCTTGCTGTGAGCAAATTGGCTGCTGTATTTCCTATATTAAAACAGTGACAAATGAATCCTTCATTGGATGTAACACGAGATGTTCTGAGATATTTATGGGGGTGGTGAAAAGCTCAATAGAAATACATTTTTCTAAAAAGTCGATCAATGTAACCCCCAACTAAAGCCAGGGATTGACATGCAGGGAAACACAAAGCGAGGTCACTTACCCAAAAGGTGGAACCACAATACTTATCCAGCATCGACGACATGGTTTGGTCTCTCCCAGTAGTGTGCTCAGAATGACTATTCCACAGCAGGACTCTCCAATAAAATGAGTCGCCACCAAAAACAACAGTGAGCTTGACCATGAGTCGGCAAAAAACAAAGACAGAGCGGGAGGGGGAGTGGGAGCAAATGTAGAAATGATAGCAGATCACCTACCTGAGGACTGGTGGACACTGCATGGTGAGCAGAGTCTAACAAATCCAAAGCCACTTCTGTTAATATTTAATTGCAGCCTCTTCATTTTATACAACTTATCATTTTGTTTTTGAGGGGGTGGTTTCATTGGGTGGGCTGGAGAGAATGATTACCTTTCTGTTAGTCCCCCACAGCTCAGCAACAAAATGGCACAAACCGCATTGTGTTCTTTTGTTTGGGCTATGGATGCATTTTGTGCGTCCATCTCACTTTAAACTGATTCTTTTCGTTCAAAACCTACGCCAGCAAGGACTGAATCAGCAATATCAAGTTAATTATTAGAAACCATTATCTTTTCCTTCTGTAAATTTCTCTGTTCTAATCTGCCTGCACATTCAACTGGACTTTAAAACCACATCAAAGTTGGAACATTGGACGTTACACTTTCAGCCTTGTAACCAATTCGCAATTAACCTTTCAACAAATTAACATTTAGCATGAAGTGAAATGTAGGATCTAGTTCCCTTTCACATGCAGTCTTGTAGAGGGTGAGATGGCAAGGTGTGGAAAGCTTACTTAACAGACACACATCTGAGACATGGTCTGGTTGTCTGTCATCCCAAGCCCTTAATAATGTAATAATGGTAATAATAATGTAAATTGCTAATCTAGGAAAGCAATCAAAAATAGTGAGATCACCTGTAAAGAAAATTAAGCCAACTGGAAAATAAAGATTAAAATATGATTTGGAAACTTGCTGTGTATTCACACTTTGTTTCCTACATTTCGCTGGAAGAAGAAAAGTGTTCAAACTACATCTCATGTGCCATAAGCAGCACCCAAGCCTTTACAAGCCTCAACATGTCCAGACAAATTGAGTACAAATAGGTTCCGAAACTCTTCGGGTCTGCCCTGGATGAAATGTTGACCTGGATGTTCAGAAGGATATTTGTCTCATTGGTAGATATTTGCTAATTCAGAATGCCAAGGTCACTGATCAAAGAAATTTATGTGTGGCCTTTGAATCTCCACAGCAAACTCATGATAAAAAAAATCTGACTCTTCTGTTGCAACCAAACTATTTGAAATACCCTCCCCAAATCTCCCTCTTAATGCTCTTAAAACCTTTGATTAAGCGTGCCGTCATTTGACCCATTGACTTATTTTTCAATTCAGTATCTCATTTTTGATGGAAAACACTATGGTGAAATGACTTGTGTTAAGATCCACGCAGATGTCAATCCGAAACAGGAATCTGGCTTGATAGGCCATATTTTGATTTATTTTGGTTTTAATAAAATGGTCTCTTGCTGAAAAATTGGCACTCAATGCTGCAGGTATTGCTTTAATGATAAAACAAAATTAATTAACAGAAGAAATAAAGACTAACTACAGTAAATCAAATCATCTAATTATAATACAGATGCAAAGATTTTTAAGCACATGACAGAAGTATAAACCTATCAATTCTAAAGCCAGGCCTCAACTGTTTTAAAATAAATCACCATGGCTACTTACAAGAAACATTTACAGGTTAATCATTAACTTCAGACAAAAAAAATACTCACTGGTTACTAACTCAAAAACAGGAAACCTAAACTGACAATAAATAATCTTTTAAAAGTCACACAGTTTACATTACACATTCCCCCGAAGAAGAATGAAGTGCATCTTAAAAAGGCATTTTCATTATTCATCAAAAGGCATCTTATCACCAAGTCTATAATAAACCAACATTAATTACATGTTAATATTAGGTATATACTGAGGTACATAGCAACCATTTTTATGCAGGACAATATATGCTCTTGATAAAGTGCTTGTGATGGCATTTCTGAAATAACTCCAAAGAGGCCAGTATCCTGTGACCAAATCACCCTTTATTTACATGTACATAATACTTGACACTGGTCTGGCTTCCTCAGAGCCAGCTCTCAGAGTGAACAGAACCCGTGACACTCCTGTTTATATCTGTCAGCCAGGGCTCCCTGATTGGACCAGATTAACAGCCCCAATCAGGGAGCTCATATTCTATGAGATCCATCTGGCTGACCTCGTTACAATCCCTACATGAACGATTTTGAAATTATACAGCTTGAAGAATTAAGCTGAAATAATTGTAATTTCTAGCTCTGAAATGTTTCTAAGAAAAATCATAGGACTGTGGTCTTAAAAAAAAAGTTTATCCACATTATTAGAAATGCATATTTCAAAATGAACAGCCAGTACCAGACTTAATGTCTCCTTTCCAACGGTTAAATATTTCTGTTGGTATGCAGTCAGTTTCTGTGAAAAAATACTAGCATGCTACTCAATCCCATCTTGGCATCTTGTAGTAAAATAGTCTCTACACCAACGTCATTAGCGTCAATAGCCATTTTGAATGGTTTCACAAACTTACGGACAACTAACAGTGGTGCTGTCAACACAGCTTTCACATTTTCAAAGGAAAATGAACACTCTTTCTTCCATTCAAATTTACGACCTTTTTTACAACAAGTTTTATTAATGGTGCAACAACAGTGCTAAAGTTTGAAATAAACTTGCAATAGAATCCACTCATATCAAAATAATGTAAAATTTTGCATTTTGCCTCAAGTGAAGGAAATCCAAAACAGCCTGTACTCTTGCGTCTCTGGCATTGTCCCACAATATGACCCAAATAAGTCACTTTGGCTTTGGCAAATTCACTCTTAGCCAAATTTGTAACCAAATTGGCTTTTTGCAGCTGTTCGAACAGTTCAGTCAATAGATGCATGTGTGCTTCTCAGGTTGGACTAGAAACCAAACTGTCAGTGTAAACAGTAGCATTACCAAGTTATTAAACGTTGTTGATGCATTTTTCATTCCAAAGGGCATGACTTTGCCCTGATCAAATCCATCTAGTGTTACAAAAGTTGAGATTTCTTTACAAAAACAGAAATTGCTGGAGAAGCTCAGCAAACCCATTAACTCTGATTTCTCGCCACAGATGCTGCCAGGCCTGCTGAGCTTTTCCAACAATTTCTGACTTTTGTTTGATTTACAGAATCTGCAGTTCTTTTGGGTTTTATTGAAATTTCTTTACCTCTCTTGGTTAAAGGAACTTGTCAATATCTCTTTAGGAAGTTGTCTCTTGTAGGTATGTCCAATTCATTGAACGTAATCCTCCAGCTGTGGTCTAGGACATGAGTCTATTTTTGTTACTACCTTGACTTTGTGATAATAAACACAGATCTTTGTGACCGCTCAGGTTTGGTATTATCATATTAGGTGAGCCCCAGCTACCTCAACTCAGTTCAATGATATCATTGTCCATCTGAATCTCTTCCCTCACCTGAGCTAATCTCTCTAAATTGAGTCAGTATGGTCATTGCTTTACAAGTACTACCTTCCCCACAGTAACATCATGAACAGCTAAAACCATTTTTCCTGGCTAATTCTCACAAATTGATTCTTAATTCTGTGTTAGCCTTCATACGTCACCTCAATAGCTTTCTGGAAGGTAAAACATGATGACATGTCATCTTTTAAGTACCTCCATGTTTTCCAATTTTATTGTTGGAAAGTTAACGATTGAATTTTCCATTTCAGAATCATTCTCTCATTGCTCTGATGTTTATATTTCCTTCCATACCATTGGTACACATTTCAACTGACTATCATCGGTATCAGGATATCTTTACAACGTGTTAGTATGGCACATTCTATGACTTTTTCTCCTGTCTAGAGTACACTACATAATTCACATCATTGAGTCTCTTTTTAATCTGATTGGGCCCAGCGAATTTTGCTTTCAATCGTTTCCCAGAGAAAGACAACAATACTAACATCTTGTCTCCCTGTTTCATGGATTCTTTTTTGTTCTGTCTAATTTTATGAGTCTGAGATCTAGTCAAGATACAGTCAGGAAACTATCCGGGATGTTCCTCTTAGAATCACAGAATAGAATAGAATCATAGAATCCCTACAAGTGTAGAAGCAGGCCATACAGCCCATTGAGTCCACACTGACCCTCTGAAGAGCATCCCACTCAGACCCACCTCCCCCTTACCATATCTCTGTAACTCTGCACCTCCTATGGCTAATCCATCGAGCCGACACATCCCTGGACACTAAGGGCAATTTACCATGGCCAATCAGCTTCTTATAAGCAGTTCAGTATGTTTGCCTGCAATGGTTCTTCTACCATCCTAGTGAAGTTGATGTTCTTTAACCCAACCAGGATATTTCCCAAAATAAAGTCAATTCCCTCTTGGAAATTAGTTTTGCTACTCCCACTACAACTTCTCCATTTACCAAGCCACTCTTTAATCCAATTCTGTATAATGAGACTGGTTTGTAATTTCCATGTGTATCACCAATTACTATTTTATCCCTCATTTACCCTTTTGGAAGACACAATTAACGCTGAGGTGACAGAAAATATTAGGAGAGCATTAAGACGTCATATCAGGTTGTGGGGAGAGATTCTGATCTGGTGACGTGGCTTACTATATGACAGAAGGACACAGGGAATGCAAAGGGCCAGGAAAAGTTAATGGAAATGACAGGAAAACATTGACAATACAACATGGGAATCAAAGTATAAAAGCACTCTTGACATGAATTGTGGGACTGAGTTATCATTTTTTTCAACTCTGTGAATTTGGAAGAAGATGATGATGATGTACTCATGTGTTCTACAATCTGGAAGCAAGGGACTGGACTTGAGCTTAGAAAACTGAAATGTACTGATCGTGAAGAACGTGAAAAAGCAATCTCATTTGGGACTCATTTACTCAAAGCAGGCTCACTGTTAACTTACTGACCAGCAGAAGCAGAGGGTGGCCATGACAGGAGATATGCAGGCAAGGTGTGCTGGAAAATATAAAAACTAAACGCTCCACCCACATTGATGAGACAGTCAAGA